AGAGTATCTGATCCTAATTCAGGTGAAGTGAGGTCCAATGGGAGGCCCCAAATTTAACCTGTACCTAAACCACTTATGTACCAATCCTGACTTGAACCCTACAACTTTAAAATTATAAAAATAAAATTAAAAAGATGGAGAAAGAAGAAAAGGAAAGAACTAAGCCAAGTCAGTTTGGAAAACAGTGTTTAACTAGATACTATAAGGCTAAAGACAGAAGGAACTGTACATCAATACTCTAGTTCCGGTGTCCCCCAACCCCCGGGTCCATGGCCTGTTAGGAACCAGGCCACTTAGCAGAAGATGAGTGGTGGGCAAGTGAGCAAAGCTTCATCTGTATTTGCATCACCACCTGAACTCTGCCTTCTGTCAGTACGCAGCGACATTGGGCTCTCATAGGAACATGAATCCTGTTGTGAACTTCACATATAAGGTATCTAGGTTGCTGCTCCTTCTGCGAATCTACTGCCTGATGACCTAAGGTGCAGCCTAAGATGATGCTAATGTGAGGGAGTGACTGCAGATACAGTTTAACATTAGCAGTGAGGACTGACTACACAGAGACCATAACTCATCAATTGCTGGCGGACTCATGTCAAAACCCAATGAGTGGCAAGTGAGTTGATGTACTTCAGTTTTGCAGCTTCATCTGGTGGCAGGCTTTAAGTCAGAATCAGACACTTATTTTAGTCTGTGCATGGCCCACCCATTATCTTATTACCACTTCCACCTGCACATCTTTCCCAACTGCACACTTGTCTCGGTCACAGTTTTGGCAAGCCCACAAAGCTAGCCCTAGCCAAAATGAATAAAAAACAAACATCACTGGAGAGCATCTTTGAAAAAGGATGAAGACCCAATGATGAGATAGCAGAAGACTCTAAGACTTCCAACAAAAAGAAAGCTGCATTTAAAAGAAAATATCAAGAGTCCTATTTAAATTATGGGTTCACTGCAACAGCTGATTCACGTTCTCCAAGCCTGCTTTGTATAATATATGGTGACCAGCTATCCAACAAAGTCATGAAACCTTCAAAACTGCTTCACTATGTGGAGACCAAGCACCTTACATTAAAAGACAAGCCTTGGGAGTTTTTCAAAAGGAAAACAACGTAAACACAAAGAACAGAAGCAATTATTGAAGGACATTACTTCATCAAATGTGACTGCACTTGAGAGCACCATTCTTAGTGCTAACCCTAAAGCTAAGAAGACCTTTACTATTGGTGAAGAGTTGATCCTGCCTCCTGCTAAGGACATTTGTCGTGAACTTTTAGGAGAGGCTGCAGTTCAAAAGGTGATATTTCAGCTAGCACTATAACTAGACGAATTGATGAAATAGCAAGGGATATTGAGGCACAATTGTTAGAGAGGATTAATGAGTCATGGTACACAATCCAGGTTGATAAGTCCACCGACGTTGACAAGGCAATGATGCTTGTTTTTGTGTGATATATTTTTCAGGAAGATATGAATGAGGATATGTTGTGTGCACCAATACCACAACTGCAAATCTATTCAAGCCTTTGAATGATTACATATCAGGAAAACTAACTTGTTCATTTTGTGTCAGTATATGCACAGACAGAGCGGCTGCCATGACTGGACAGCCTTCTGGTTTCACTATTTGGGTCAAAGAGGTCATTTCTGAATGTGAGTCTACATATTGTGTCACCCATAGAAAATGCTGGCTAGCTGAAAAATGTCACCTGAACTTACATTTTTGCAGTATGTGATTAAATTATCAACCACATGAAAGAACATGCCCTTAACTCACGTCTGTTCATACAGCTCTATGAGGATATGAATGCAGAGCATACACATCTTATACACAGAAGCAGGATGGCTTTCTAAAGGTAGATCACTGACCAGAGTTACGAGAGCCACTTTAGAGGTTTCTTTTAGAAAAACAGTCACCACTGGCAGCACATTTTAGTGACAGAGAATGGGTCACAAAACTTGCTTAGTTGTGTGACACATTCAACCTGTTCAGCGAACTAAATTTGTCACTTCAGGGAACAATTACTGTGTTCAAGTCGACAAATAAAGTGGCTACATTCAAAGCTACACAGGAATTATAGGGCAATGAGTGGGCACTGGGATTTTTGACATGTTTCAAACGTTAGCAGAGATTTTAAAAAAGACTAGACCAGGGCCTTCTTTTTTCCCAGCTGGTGCATGATCACCCATCTTGGCTTTCAGAAGAGTTTGAGCATTACTTCCCCACCACAAAAGATCCCCAAACTGGGAAGAAATGGATCCATGACCCACTTGTGCATAAGCCAGGTGACTTTATCTGTGCTAGAAAGGATCAACAGCTTGAGACTGCAAATGACGGTGGCCTTCAAAGTATGTTGGAGACAACTTCAAAACTTGGATTAAAGTCAAGGCGGAATATCCTGAGCTTGCCACAAAAGCACTGAAAAGTCTGTTTCCATTTCCAGTATCCTGTCTTTGCGAAGCAGGGTTTTCTGCAATGACAGCAACCAGAATGAGTAGACTGGACATAATCAACACACTTTGGATGTCACTGTCTCCCGTCACCCCCAGGTGGGACTGTCTAGTTGCAGGAAAGCAAGCTTAGGGCTCCCACTGATTGTGCATTATGGTGAGTTGTATAATTATTTCAGTATATGTTACAACATAATAATAATAATAGAAATAAAATGCACAATAAATGTAATGTGCTTGAATGATCCCAAAACCATCTCCCCTTTCCCTGGTCCTTGGAAAAACTGTCTTCCATGAAACCAATCCCTGATGTCAGAAGGGTTAAGGACTGCTATTCTGGTTAGTAAATTTGTTTATCACTGGGGTATGGGTTAGCAATTCTGTTACTGTGCTAGGATTGAACAAATAAGTGAACACATTATAGATAATGAGACCCAGATTTCTCATTGTCAGAAAAATAAATTACAAAGGAAAGGAAGAAGGCTAGAATGAACTTTATGGTGTTGGATTGGAATCAAAGTTATCTGTATGATGGTAGAGTTTTAATATACATATGGTCAGATATAGATTAGATATGTGTGTGTATTAATACACATACATATCTTCTATTTGTTAGTTCTGCCTGTTAAGAAGGCTTTAGAGCAATGATATCCTAGTAGTAATGAGCACATTTTGCACCTGGATTTGGTTCCTAAATACCATTCTCTAGTGAAAGAAACCAGAGCTTCTTGGTGAAAGGTTGATACCAGATATCAGAAAATACAGAAGTGCCTACAAAAGGACATAGTAGCCAACCTGAATGAGCTCCTGATGGCCAAAACTTGATCAGTTTAAGCAACAAAATAATGATAGGCTGGGCACAGTGGCTCACACCTGTAATCCCAGCACTCTGGGAGACCAAGGCAGGAGGGGTTCAAGACCAGGCTGGGCAACTTGGTGAGATCTCATCTCTACAATAAATCAAGAAATATTACCCGGGCATAGTGGCACACACCTGTAGTTCCAACTACTTGGAAGACTGAGGCAGAAGGGTCACCTGAGCCCAGCAGGTCAAGGCTGCAGTGACTGTGAGAATGCTGCTTCACTCCAGTCTGGGCAACAGTGAGACTCCGACTCAAAAAAAAAAAAAAAAGAGAGAAATTTTAGCTATTCTTAGTCATTAGTCATTAGTCATTCTTTCGCCCAGACTGGAGTGCAGTGGCACGTTCCCAGCCACCGCAGCCTCACCCTGCTGGGCTCCAGTGATCCTCTGCCTCAGCCTTCCAGGTAGCCAGAACTACAGGCGCCCACTACCACGCCTGGCTAATTTTTGATTTATTGTAGAGACAAGGTCTCACCACGTTGCCCAGACGGGTCTCGAACCTGCGGGCTCAGGCAATCCACTTGCCTCGGCCTCCCAAAGTGCTGGGATTACAGGCTGAGCCACCGAGCCCGGCCAGATTTTAACTTTTTATTGAAGTTTATGACAGGGGAAAACCCAGAATTATTTTTTGGAGGGTGGGCCCCTTGTAGTACAGGCTTCCCCTGCTAGGTAAGTGTGCTAGGAAACCATCGGCATCAGTGTGCCAGCTAGCATTGTTGTGAGCAGCTACATTTGGCTGCAGTGAATTTTTTTTTTTTTTTTGGGAGACTATTTCAGTGCATTTGCCCATTTATGATGGGTGCTTTACAAGTGTACCTGCCCATACCACAGTGAATGTTTAGCAGTTTTTGACCAAAAACAGCCTGACTCCCCTATGCGCTTCCCTTCCTATTCGTTGCATCTCTCCCTGGGCAACTTCGTTTTGTTTCCTCAAATGAAAAAAGTCCTCAAAGGGAAACTTTTTTCCAATGTGGTAGAGGAAACAAAAAACAGCAGAAGCACTAAAAGGCATCAAAATAGAGTTCAAAAACTGTTTTGAGCAGTGGAAAAAGCGTCTCAGTAGGTGTATTGCATCAAATGAAGAGTACTTTGAAGGTGACTGAAGTTTAAGCATGTAGGAATAAATACATAACTTTTTATAAATAAATTCGGTTTGGGGGGATCCTCCTCATATTATGCATACAGAAAAGCACACATAAGTATGCTTGTAAATAAAACTTAGGCTGGGCTTGGTGGCTCAGCCTGTAATCCCCCAGCACTTTGGGAGGCCGAGACAAGTGGATTTCATGAGCCCGCAAGGTTTGAGACCAGCCCAGGCAACTTGACGAGACCTTTTTTCTACAGTAAATCAAAGATTAGCCAAGCGTGTGGGCACGTGCCTATAGTTTCGGCTACTTGGAAGACTGAGGCGGAAGGATCGCCGGAGTCCAGCAGATTGATGCTGAGGTGGCTGTGAGTGTGCCATTGCACTTCAGCCTGGGTGACAGAGTGAGACTCCAACTCACAAAAACAAAAACAAAAATCTTGAATTCAATAATAGGATATTAACTAAATTTTAATTTCATTATCCAATACTCTAAAATAACAAGTTTACTCAACTGGCAATGTAGTATACAACAAGGAAAACTTTTCATAGGCATATTTTTTTGATGTTTGTTTATTTGGTTTTGGTTTTGCTGTTTTTCAGGATGTCGTGGACACACACCCTGGTCTGACGTTCCTGAAAGATGCTCCAGAATTCCACTCCCGCTACATCACCACGGTAGGCTAGTGTTCTTTTTTTTCCGTTTTGATTTGTGTGGGTAGGTTTTTTTTTTTAAACTCCATAAGTCTTTTTTTTATCACTATCTAGTATCCGGGATTTCAGCTATAACATGGGCTATAATGATTTTTTTAAGTGGGAGGAAGGTAGAGTTAAATTGAATAATTTATTTGCGTTTACCTATTTCCTTTCTTATTTGTGCCCAATACTGAAAAGAGATCTCTTGTATACAGAGTTAAATTAATATCCTCTTTCTGCCTGGCTTTATGAGGTGTACCTCTTGCTGTGTCATGAATACTGATATTCCGTTGATCTTTATAGCATTTTCAAGTAAGATTGAAAAGAATTTTCAATGATAAAGACAGATAGCTTATATGTAATCAGAGAACAAATCATTTAAGAATTTCAAATAACACGATCACAGTCTCGTTGGGTCGGTCACAAGCAGGGTGTGAATCAGGAGTGAGAGCACCCGGGCCTGCGGTGCACAGGGCAGCCTTTTCCTGCCTTCTCTGCCTCAGCTCCCAGATGAGCTTTGGGGGCATTCTGCGTACCAGCCCCAGGGCCATTCTCAGTCACACTTCCAAGAGAGATGGTCCTTGCTTCTAGCTCGGAGCCCTCAGCCCTCAGCCCAGCCCGGCAGTCTCCTCTGAGGACTACCCTTCATAGTTGGGAACAGCTTGCTGGCCATGGGTGTGTTAGGTTCTGCTGTTTTTCTTTTCCTCCTACAGGAACTTCAGTCTGCTTTTGCATTGACTGTCTTCCATCAGTAGAAAACTTTGTACGATTTTATCTGAGCCAGAAGGTGTCACTGTCAGCTGAGACCATCAAGACATTATTTTTGCCCGTTAACCACAACACTACTAAATTACCTCTGCCACAGTCCACCTGGCCGTCTCCCCTGATTGCTCACTTGGATTTCTTCCAATTTCCCTGCCTGTGACCACCCTCATTGCCCCGAAGTCTAGTCTCCATAAAGCTAACAGAGTTATCCTTTAAAAATGTAAGTCAGAGCACGTGACTCCTCTGTGCAGACCCTCCAGTAGTTTCCCATCTCGCGCAGAATAAAAGCCCAAGACTTTTCTAAGACTCCATAGTCCCCCCATGCCCTGCAACCCCTGCTCTCTCATCTTATCTCCACCTTGCTTACCCTGCTTCCACCAGGGGGAGCAGACCCAGCCACTTCTGCCTCAGGGGTTTCTTCCTTCCTGGTTCCTGGGCCTGGAATGCTCTTCCCACAGATTTCCACACTGTCCCCCGCACTCAGCCACATGCCTGCTCAGACCTGCACTTACTAGTGAGATCTCCCTGATTCCTCTCTGCCTTCATCACCCTCTTCTCCCTCTGCCCCTCCCCCACACTCTCTGTTCCTTTGTCCTGCTTTATTTTTCTTCTTAGCTCCTGTCAGCTAATGTTTAAATTTGTGTTTGTTTATTGTCCATCTCCTTCTCAATAATATAAACTCCATGAGAGCAGCGACTTTGTCTGTATTTTGGACTGCATATTCTTAGTACTCAGAATAGTGCTTGGCACATAATAAACACACACCAAGTATGTACTGAGTAAATAAATGAATTATCTGTGCTTAAGAATTCTACACGTGCTCTGGCTGTAATCCCAAAGGAGATTATTGAGTTCTAACTATTGACTGTTCTATAAACTCAAGGCATATTAACAGCACAATTTAGAATCTTGAGTTAAATTAAAATTTTAACTTTAAACCTTAGAGATAATCTAGTCCGGCCAGGCTCGGTGGCTCAGCCTGTAATCCCGCACTTTGGGAGGCCGAGGTGAGTGGATTGCCTAAGCCCGCGGGTTCGAGACCCGCCTGGGCAATTTGGCAACTCATCTCAACAATAAATCAAAAAATTAGCCGGGCGTGTAAGTGCACGCCTGTAGTCCCAGCTACTTGGAAGACTGAGTGGAAGGATCGCCAGAGCTTAGCAGGTGGAGGCTGTGGTGGCTGGGAGCGACCACTGCACTCCAGTCTGGGCGACAGAGTGAGACTCCAACTCAAAAAAAAAAAGAAAAGAAAAGAAATAATCTAGTCCAACCTTCTACTGATTCAGAAAATGCTCTCTGCAGAGGACCTTTTTATTGGAATGTATTCTTAGAGATGTTAAAGAATGAAAGAATAAAATAGAGATAAATTTTCTTCTACTTTCTAGTTTGGTATTTCTTAAAGTACCTGAGCCTATGATGGTCTTTGGTCGTCTAGCAAGTGATCCCCGGGAACTTTGAAATTTTACAGTGAAAAGCCATGAAACCATTTTGTTTACATGTAATTCACATTTTCCAAGAAATTTTGTCATGTTGATGATTGACCAAAATGAATTAATACTGTTAATTAACTCTGCTGTCATCTTTTCATGGCGTGTGTGTACTGCTGTTTACATTTGTTAAATTAACACTTTGTTAATATTATGCTGCTTTATCCTCAGTTCACAAGAATGAATCCATTACTCAGAAGTAGTCATTTAAATGTAAAATACTTTTGATGAAATAATGATATGGCAACGCAAATCAGCACCATAACATTAGTAATAAACAAGACCTAATTGGGAATATGGAATATAAGCTTGGATGTGCTGAGATAAGTGAATAACTGACATAGTGATAATCTCATGAAAAGTGCAAATAAAAAGTATAACAACAAATATCTGGAAGTGGAATTTTATTAAACTGGTTACTCTCCCAAGTACCTTTTCTGATATGAAATTTGGTCAGATAATGGCATGAATTCATCGAAACTTTTGCATGTTTTCAGAGTACAGTGAGTTTTTCTAGAACAACTGCAATATAAGGCCTTCTAGTATGAAATTAATTTTGTTAGTGGGTATAAAATGACTAAACTAGAGCGGCATCATTCTTTACCTGCTCATAGCAAAAAATAGATAAGATCACACTGTTTCTAAAAAACTTATAAAGATCAGCCCCAGAATTAAGGACAGAATCTCAGGAAAAAAAACGGTCATTTTATCCTATGACTCTGTTGAAGTATAATCTCAGTGCCATACAGTATAGTATAATAATTAACATTATGTTTACATGCTAGAGAGTTACAGTTATTTCACTTTGCAGTTGAAAGAAACGAGTGACCCAGAGGATGACCCAATTATTAATTAGCTAGTGTGTGATACATATATGATAAAGAAATGTTGGACAACTTTTATTTTCTGTTGATCATTGGAAACCTATGTTACAGGAAAAGACTTTGTTTGTTTAGTTAATTATTTTGTCAGCTGTTTTTAGACTGGAAGACAGAGCACCAGCTATGTGCAGCAAAGTAGATTAGCACTACCCAAATCAGAGGTGGCACCTAAAGTCAGACCATATTCTCCTTTGTTTCCAAAAGAGTTGGCAACTGAGAAATAAGCCTTTGATATTGAATGAACATGAAAATTAGAAACACCAGCAAATTGTAGCCCTTGAATTTGCAGTTTTGCATGCTGTGCAAAGATTGTCAGTGAATAAGAGGCTCTGCTTATTCAAACTGACATATGCCGACTTTTGAGGAAAGAAGTGCTCACTTGAGTTTTAAAAATAAGCCATGAGACTTAAAATATTTCCTTATGACACTGGTGCAGGCAGTAAAGATATTTCTGTGGCTTGCTCAGATGGTGTCTTGGTGATATATTCAGAATCTTGATTGGCCTGAATCCATCACTTCAAGCTGAAATGCCAGGATTTTAATTGTTGAGGACAAGGTACTGATTTTCCTAAGATGACTAAGCTGTGGTCAAGACTACTCACCACCAAGAGCTTATTAATTCTTCTCCCTTGAAAACTTTTCATCTTGACAGAGAAATCATTTTTATTATATGTATATTTTTAAAGTGCAAATTCTACACAAGACCATGAAGAAACTTTTCAGCCATGTTAGCCAAAGAGTGAAGGAGAAACACATTCACCCTCCCTGCTAAGTGAGAACCAGGCTTCCAGCATTGAAGTGTGTTCTTCTGCATCATCTGCAGTAGGAAAGTCCTGGAATTTATGTGTCCCCGTTTAATTCACTTGTCAAAAACAATATGACATAAACACATAAACATTAAACTCTTTCATCCCTGGCGACCTGCATTTTGATAGCTATAAAGAAGAAAGGAAACTGTCTTATGATACAGCTTGTCTATCAACTTGTCTGTCGAGCTGCTTAGAGAGCCTTGGTGAGAGATTGTCAGATTTTCTTTATCTCACTAGTAGTAAACAATTATTCTAATTATGATTTATTTTAAATTTGTGTGTGTGTGTATGTTGGAGTCTCACTCTGTTGCCCAGGCTGGAGTGTAGTGGCACACTCACGGCCACCCCAGCGTTGACCTGCTAAGTTCCGGCAGTCCTTCTGCTTCAGCCTTCCAAGTAGCTGGAACAAGTGCATGCTACCGCACCCGGCTAATTTTTGATTTATTGTAGGGACAAGGTCTCGCGAAGTTGCCCAGGCTCGTCTCAAACCCGTGGGCTCAGGCATTCCATTCATCTCAACCTCCCAAAGTACTGGAATTACAGGCTGAGCCACCGAGCCTGCCATATTTTAAATTTTTAAAATATTTTTAAGATGGTGATTAATTTCTATTTATTTAAGAGTGGTACCTCCCAAAAATAAAAATTAAAACATTTTTTAAAAGAGTGGTACCCCAAAAGTTAGAAAAGTAACAGTAATTAATGTAGAACCAGCAGCTACGTGCTTTTACCACTAGATGGTGATCCAACCTCAGCCATCTAAAATGCTGAATCAGTGATGTGGAACCCAGCAAATGTGCTGATGAAGTGAAGCCACTGAATAAGGAGATTTGGGCTATGGAAAGATGGAATACAAGTATATTGTTTTATAGTATTAGATAAGTAGGTTAGCAGAGGCTAAAAATAGGAAATGCCTCACAGCCAAATTGTTTGCAAATTTTAAACATTCTGTTAAAAATAACAAAAAAGGAAAAAGGGAAAAGTAAAACAAGTGAAAATGGATACAGATTAAAGTTTTATAATTTTAATACAGTACTTCCATAAATAATAAAACATTTGCGTATACAGATATAAATTTTAGACAAGAAACTCATGTTTAAAAATAAATTTATATTTGAAAATGTTGATGTCATATTGTGTATTGAAATTAACTTTAACTTGAGAGAAGGGGACATGGAAGTATGTTAAATGAAATTCTTAATGTTTATTTTAACATACATAATTTCTGCTAAAAATCCTCCACCATTTCTGTATGAACTTCCTCCAAGCTAGTGCTAAGAATACCACATTGAGTAAGACACATTCTGTGTCCTCAATGACCTCAGAGTCTGGATGGTTGGAGCATATTTCTGTAGAAAAATTAGGCACCAACTAGTCCCAGCTCCTACCTAATGAAGGAATCCTTCAACTTCTACCTAAATACTTGTGATGAAAAGAAACCTCACTGCTTCATACAAACCCATTGCTTGATAGGGCTAATTTTAAGAAACTCTTCCTTGTATTGAAGTATTCAGTATACAGGCGTTTCCTTCGAGCAATTCTAATTCTACCCTTTGGTGCAGCACAGACAAGTCAGCTTTTTCTTCTACCAAATAGCCATTCAGATCATGATCACATCTAAGCTCCAGTTTTAGTTTTTCCTCAAGATTAAGCATTTACTACATTAGTAGCATCTTTCGCAATCATTTTGAATAGAGTTACTTTTTCCTGTTTTCTGTCTTTTGCACATTTTATATACATTCTATCTGTAAATCATAGATGAAAATACTGAGTTATGTGAAATACCAATTCGAGCCTTTCTTGGGTTGGCATCCATCTGCTATGTAAAATTGAATAGAGTCATTCAACTAGCTATGAAACCAACCCATATTTTTCTACCACAAAGATATCACAAAAGTCTTTGTTATACAACTTCCAAACCTCATTATTTTATCAAGCTGTTATAGCCCCTCTGATATATGGAAAGCACCATGTCAGATATTGGAATACAAGGCAAGAAAGACTGGTCCTTTAGTGTCTGCAAGTGTTGGTGGTCAGATGCACCCGTGTTTAGAATGTCACCACAAGGATGATGGGAGGAGACTCGGGTGGCAGTGGGAGCACAGGAGGCGGAGCTCCATTCTGGGGGGTCCGGGGCCAGAAGGGTTAGCACTGACAGCAGGGGTGGAGTGACAAGTGCCAGGCAGCAGAACGTAGACTTTCATCTTACTGCCGGTTTTTCCCTCTTCCATTTGAGAAGTGCTCTCTTTGCTCAGAGTCTTTAGCAGAATGGTGGCTTAGTCCTCATAGGCCTACTCTTTGGAAAGATGTCCAGATGTCTTATCTTCTTTGTTGTTCTTGCACCAAAATAGCTTGAAAAAGACATCTATTCTCTCCCATGATAAAATCACCAGGGATACGGGCTTCTGTGTTATTGACTATCAATAAAACCAAGATTCTCAGTAAAACTGCTTAAATGTGCTCTTCTCATGAGCACTGCTTGCTTTGGAAGAGAAAAGATAACAGGTGAAAGGGAGATCAAGGGGGTAGGAATAATCGCAGGTAAAATTGTTAAGAATTAAGTGTGCTAGCCGGGCTCGGTGGCTCAGCCTGTAATCCCGCGCCTTTGGGAGGCTGAGGTGAGTGGATTGCCTGAGCCCGCGGGTTCGAGACCCGCCTGGGCAGCGAGACCTCATCTCTACAATAAATCAAAAAATCAGCCGGGCATGGTAGCGCATGCCTGTAATTCCAGCTACTTGGAAGGCTGAGGCGGAAGGATCGCCGGAGCCC